GGAGGCTCCGGGGAGACCTAATAGCAGCCTTCCAGTACCTGAAGGGGCTACAGGAAGGCTGGGGAGAGCCTGTTTAGAAAGGCCTGTAGTGACAGGACGAGGGGCAATGGCTTCAAGCTGGAGGGGAACAGATTTAGACTGGAGATTAGGAGGGGGTTCTTCACTGTGAGGGTGGTGGAGCACTGGAACAGGTTGCCCAGGGAGGTGGTTGAGGCCCCATCCCTGGAGATATTCAAGGTGAGGCTCGAGGAGGCCCTGGGCAACCTGGTCTAGTTGGGGGTGTCCCTGCTGACTGCGGGGGGGTCAGACTAGATGGCCTTTGGAGGTCCCTTCCGGCCTGGGCAATTCTATGACTCTATGATTTGCACTAACACTTAGCTCTATCTGGAGCTTGTCTTCCATTTCAGAAATCAAACGTATGAAGCAAGGCGGTACCGCCTCTTTCACATGGCATTTTCTTTCTACTGTATGTGTAATTAACGTGTGATTAAATGCTATTCACAGAAAGCTTTCTTACCTTCTCCTCCAGGAGAGGGGGGAAAAAGAGCGTGCAAGTGATGCTGGTCACGGTCTGTTTGCACTGCTGGGTGATGCTGAGGTGCATCGGGGGGTGCAGGACAGCACTGAGTTCCTAAAATGGGTGTCAGAGGGAGGTGCCTCCTTGGTTGGGTGAAGGTGTGTTATGGGTGGCCGTGCTACGGGAAAGCTTGTGCCCAGGATGGGGTGTTTTGGAAGGCAAAGATTTCTCACTTGCTTCACAGGGATGTTTATATCCTACGGAGGAGAAGCAACAGTGATCAGCTTCTTGATGTGAAATAACGACATGCTTCAAAGCCAAGGTGGGTCATGGAAATATGCTCTATACGACATTCCTGTCAATTTTTTTTCCTAACCTAAAGTGAATTGGGTCAGGGCTGTGGTGTGTGCAAGCCTCTTCAGGTTGCAACTAATGCAGAGTAAGTGTTCTTGATGCCTAAGGCAGATTTTATGTAGTTTATAAACGGTTAAACTGTAGAGAATCTTCTTTCAGAGAAGAAATGTAGCTATTTTAGCAACGATCCCAAATGGTACCAAGGACTTGGTAAGGTAAGAAAGGATGTCTGTGGCCCTGGGAACGTGGTGACCTAAGACAAGGGTGCAATAAATATGGACATTGTCTGACAAACAGGTGGTAGCAGGGAGATCATTAGTTTTAATGAGCAATTAAGCAGTTGGAATGTTTTGCCAACGTGAAAAGTGAGCCAAAGGACAGGTCAGGAAGATGAAGATTGAGGAAGAAACGACCCTCACTCAAAATGAGGACCCCCAGAAGGCACAACTACGCATGCCCCAAAGCTTATTATAATATGTAAATGAATTCTTGGAAATGTAATGAATGTGCTAATGTTTTCTTGGAATTACATTGAATATGTACCCCTGTTGTGTATAAATTTAACTTGACAACAGCATTCGGGGAGCAGAACAGGAGGAGCCATCCCCTGCGTGCCCAGCACCGCAATAAAGAATGCCTGCTTTATAACACTTATAAATTGAGTCTGAGAAAGTTTTACCTGCTGGTTTGCGGTGACATTCTGACCAAAACCAAAATATTTCTCCATATTGGTGCTTATTCACTCCACTTTCCAAGTTGCCTGCACAGACCAGTCCTTGTGTTTGTCCGATTCCCTTCCCTTCCTCCCCCCGAGTCCCGAATTCTGCACTTTTCAGAAATCCCTGCACGTCACTTGCTGAAAGCTGTCTCTCTGGCACGACTGGGAAGAGGCTGGGGCTCAGCTGTTGATTTTCATTGTGTGACAACACCTATTGTGTTCCTGTCTTCTGGAAAGCCACTTCCATGGGAGCCACCCCTGCCAAGGCAGCTCTCGCTTTGTCTTTCCGTTTAAAGCTTCGTTTCACCTCTTTCAGGGTGGTGGTGGTCTGTAGCTCTGAATATTGGTGGCAATGAGAGCCAAATATTATCCCTTGAAAGCTTTGATTTGGAGCAGATTGGATATTAGGAAAAAATTTTACATGGAAAGGATTATGAAGCCTTGGAATGGGCTGCTCAGGGAAGGGGTTGAGGCACCATCCCTGGAGGTGTTCAAAAGATGGGTTGACATAGTGTTTAGAGACATGGTTTAGTGATGGGGGGGGCTGGTATGGGGTTTTTTTGTGGGTTTTTTTATCAGAGTTAGGGTGATGGTTGGACTAGATGGTCTTAAAGGTCCCTTCCAACCTTGACAATTCTATGATTTGATTAGAAGGGAGGCTGAGTGACTTTTGCTGGAGCTCAGCAGCTCCCGTGGCACCTGAATTTTCTCAGTAGAAACAAAGCCTTTTAGCAATGCCTATGAAGATGTGTTCATTTAAAAGAGAACAGCTGGAAACTAGAGCAAAAGGGTCATTTCCATCTCTGAATGAACAGAGCGTGCGCCGTCCCGAAGGTCTCATACCCAGCTGGGTTCAGTGCTGAGACGTGTGCTGTGCTGGGACAAGCTCTGGTTGGGGCTGGGGCTTGGGGACATGGAGTAAAGATGGGGGGTTTTTTTTCAGTTTCCAGGCTTTCTTGGCATCAGCTCAGTCTTAGTTTCATCTTCCTGTGGCTTCTTACAGAGAAACATGGATTAAATGCTACTCTGACGTGGACCAGCTCTCTCCATCTGCCCAAAGGCTGCTATGTCATGAGATCTGTTTGTCTTTTGGATGGGTGACAACAACCCCTTCTGAGTCACCTTAATACGCACAGGTGTAGCACTGAGATAGGTATAGAATCATGAAATGGTTAGAGTTGGAAGGGACCTTAAAGATCATCGAGTTCCAACCCCCCTGCCCTGGGCAGGGACACCTCCCACCAGACCAGGTTGCTCCAAGCCCCATCCAGCCTGGCCTTGAACCCCTCCAGGGATGGGGCAGCCACAGCTTCTCTGGGCAACCTGTTCCAGTGTCTCACCACCCTCACAGCAAAGAATTTCTTTCTGGTATCTCATCTAAATCTCCCCTCTTCCAATTTAAAACCGTCACCCCCAATTTAAACTGTTACAGAGTCAAAACACCTCTATATTGAGCCGTCCCCTGCTTTGTAATATTTAAAAATGAGTAATATAATGTGAAAAGTGCCCAGGCAAAAGCTACCAATCCCCATTTCAACCCTGTAGCTCTTCCCAATGGTGATGCTGGAAGCCATTCCTTTCCAGCTACGAGGTGTTCCAGGCTGCTCAAAGCAGAACCTGTGCTAGACCTTTTGTGCCCACATCTGCACGCAGCAGTGAGACCTGAAACGTAGCATTTGACCACTTGAAATACCCACCTTGTGCCCCTGCCAGGAGAAACACAGCACAGTGGGAAGTGACTCCAAGCGCCTCCGTCCAAAGAAGCACATTGAGGAACTGGGCTCCCCAGTTCCAGAAGGACAGGGAACTGCTGGAGAGGGGACAGCAGAGGGATACAAAGAGGATGAGGGGCCTGGAGCATCTCCCATACAAGGAGAGGCTGAGGGACGTGGGTCTTTTGAGTCTGGAGAAGAGAAGGCTGAGGGGGGATCTGATCAAGGCTTAGAAATACTTCAAGGGAGGGTGTCAGGAGGATGGGGCTGGTCTTTTTTTCAGTGGTGCCCAGGGACAGGACAAGAGGAAATGGGCACAAACTTGAATGTTAAGAAGTTCCACCTAAACACAAGGAGGAACTTCTTTGGGGTGAGGTTGGCAGAGCCCTGGCAGAGGCTGCCCAGGGAGGTGGTGGAGTCTCCTTCTCTGGAGACATTCAAACCCCACCTGGACACGTTCCTGTGGGACCTGCTCTGGGTGGCCCTGCTTTGGCAGGGGGTTGGACTAGATGATCTCCAGAGGTCCCTTCCAACCCCGTGTGATTCTGTGGAGTTAAGGGAGAATTAGTGAATCCCAAAAGAAAAAAAAAAAAAGCTCTGATCTGCGTTCTTAACTCCTCGATTCACTGGTGGGGTCAGGTGTAGCTCCTGTGATGCTCCGGTCTTCTGCTGAGAGATGAATTACTCCTCTGGCAGATGGTCACCCCAGCCCTTCCTGTGGGCGTAGCCCTATAATTGGGGGGGCACCCCCAAAATAGGAAGTGTCCCCGTGACTAAGATACGGAGGAGGTCACACAGGAGCGTGACTGATGTTTCTTTTCCGGCTTGAGCCCTGGATGTGTTTATCAAAAAAAAAAAACAAAACCAGAGTTAATTTGGGCTAGTTCTTCTCGTTCTGGCGGTGAGTTACTTAATGGTAGAAAAATGCAGAGGGAGGGAGAGGGAAGAGGAAGGGCCAGGCAGGCGAGGACTTGAGCCACAGTGATTAACGACCCGGCTGCAGAGAGGAGAGCATGGGAAGGGTAAATATCTGCTAAATATAGTAAATAAAGGAGCAGTAAATAAAGGAGCAGATGATAACGAGTGGGCAACTGGCGGTGTGTCCCGGCGAGGCCACCCTTTGGGAAGCAAGCTCGGTAAGAAACGTGGATGAAGCTCAGGTCGTGGACTTCAGATGAAAATGTAGATGAAAAAAAAAAAAAAAAAAAAAACATTAACGGCGACGTTAAGTGTCCTTCTTTAAAAACCCAGCCGTTTTAATTTATTTATTTTATTTATTAAAAACTTTTTAATAGTGTGGGTGTTAAGCAACACCTGCCCCGTGGCCGCAGGTCACTGTCTCCTGAGAAGGCTCCCAGGCAAGGCCAGGTGTTGCCAAAGAAGGAGGAGTTTGGTAACAGCAAGTTACCAAAAAAGCAACTTAACAGGGAGTGAGACCTCCATTAAGACACAAGGAAAACTAAAACAGACTATGGAAATAAATGCTGAGAAAGGTTATTGAATCGGAAGGGCGAAAAACTGAAACAGCCTGGTTGTTTCCTGTAATTAAAGGTTGTAGGATTTCATCATGTTCCTACCACAACAAGACTAACGTCACGTCTGAGGAGGCAACTTCATTCCTCCTCACTAACGGAGCATTCCTGAAGTGGCAGTTTGTAAAAAGGAAATTATTTTCTTTTGGCCTAGGGACAACGTTAGGATGTCTTTGGTACGGCACTAAAAAGAACTGAATACTGCTGAAGAAGAAGAGAAGGACTCCCATATCCACAACAAATAATACTAGAAATCCTGCTGCTCTGCAAAGGCACCCTTTGAACCAGGGTGGATGAAAAAACCTACGTATTGTTTCATTAAAATATTGCCTATTAAATGGAAGTTGCTGTTTGAAATGTCTCTAAGTACTTGAGGTCATCTGGGGGGAACATGTGGTGCTGTGAGAGTTTGGCCATGGCAGGACATGCCCTGTTGTGTCACAAGCGTCTTATTTCATTAGCAAAGTAGAAGGCAAAGCAAACAAACAGAGAGAACACATGAAAATTAGGAGTAACAGAGGTCAGGAGGATTGCCAACACTACGCGGGACGGGGAAACGGGAGGAGACAGACATTGAAGAAAAAATTCACACTAAATTTTAAAAAGAAACTTTGAAATCGGTGACCCAGGCACTTCGGAAGCAGAACACAAGACTTCAGGTGTCTACAACATCTCGGTCAGTGGTCAACCCACCCTCTCACCACGCTGTGTGGCTGAATGACAAGGTGGCCCCCTCTCCCCGCACATCAGGGATGAGCAGATGAGCAGCAGCGCTCTCCACTCGCCCCTTTTTTCCCACTTTCATGTCCAATGTGATGCCGGGAGCACAGGACAGGGATGGGGATGCCCTCGGCTGCGCTGGTCCCTGGGCTGGTGTCCACCAACGCGTGCTCCTTCCCAGCACCCTTCACCAGGGGCACATAGAATCACAGAAACATCATGGTTGGAAAGGACCTCTGAGATCACAGAGTCCAACCACACACACACACAAAAGACCCCCACAATCTCGGGCACTAGAGCATGCCCTCAAGTGCCACGTCTACACGCTTCTGAAATCCATCCAGGGTTGGTGACGCCGCCACCTCCCTGGGCAGGCCCTTCCAGGGCCTGACCACCCTCTCAGGAAAGTCATTCTTCCCAAGATCTCATCTAAACCTCCCCTGCCCCAACTTCAGACCATTTCCTCTGCTCCTCTCATGATTCCCTTGGGAGAAGAGGCCAACCCCCACCTCTCTCCACCCTCCTGTCAGGGAGCTGGAGAGGGCAAGGAGGTCTCCCCTCAGCCTCCTCTTCTCCAAACTCAACATGCCCACTTCCCTCAGCCTCTCCTTGTAGGACTTGTTCTCCAGACCCCTCCCCAGCTTGGTGGCTCTACCACTGCACGGAAAAGCTGAGCTGCGCTTCCAGGATGCTATTGCAGCCCAAAGCCCCCTGCCTTTTTCAGGGGGTGAGGGGGGAAGTAGAATGATAGAATCATCTAGGTTGTAAGAGGCCTTCAAGATCATCTAGTCCAACCATCAACCTAACTCTGACAAAAAAACATCACTAAACCATGTCCCCCAGCACCATGTCAACCCGTCATCTGAACACCTCCAGGGATGGTGCCTCAGCCCCTTCCCTGGGCAGCCCATTCCAAGGCTTGATAGCCCTTTCCATGTAAAAATTTCTCCTAATCTCCAAGCTGAACCTCCCCTGGTCCAACTTGAGGCCGTTTCCTCTTGTCCCATCGCCTGGGACTTGGGAGTAGAGACTGACCCCCCCCCTGGCTACACCCTCCTTTCATGGAGTTGGAGAGAGCGAGAAGGTCTCCCCTCAGCCTCCTTTCCTCCAGGCTGAACACCCCCAGCTCCCTCAGCCTCTCCTCACAAGACTTGTTCTCCAGACCCCTCACCAGCTCCGTTGCCCTTCTCTGGACCCGCTCCAGCCCCTCAATGTCTTTTTTTGTGGGAAGGGGCCCAAAACTGGACACAGCCCTCGAGGTGGGGCCTCACCAGTGCCCAGTCCAGGGGGACGATTGTCTCCTGAGGCCTACTCGCCACGCTGCTCCTGACACAGGCCAGGATGCTGGTGGCCTTCTTGGCCACCTGGGCACACTGCTGGCTCCTGTTCAGCCCACAGGCCACCAACACCCCCA